AACAGTTCATCCAGTCATTAAAAGTTTCAGATAATCGAATTTTTCTTCTTCTCGGACTCAAATATAATTTACTAGTTACATTTATGCAAGCAAGGAAATTTTATTTTTAATTTTACTGTATTTTAATACAACAAAGTTCTTTAAAAATTAAATATTGTTATTTTCATAAAACAAAATAAAAAACTTGCTTCTTTCGATAAAATTGAACTATGAAATTATTTTTTATTTACTTAACCAAAAAAGCAAATATAAAGTCAGATTATAGAATCATTAGGTTTATTTCGAAGTAAGATAGCAAAAGTCGGCGATGCCTTCGCCGATAATACACGAAACGTCAGCGATACCCTCGCCGAGATTCGAACTCCAGGTCCTTCCGTTTGCGCTTTTCAATTATGCTATGGAGGCATGCAGTAAAGAGGAAGAAAATTCCTCATACAGTTACATTGCATATTCTAAGATATCAAAAGAATTCCCTGCACGGGGGAATCAAATACAGTGGTATTTGATTTTAATAACGCTAAAAAATAATGTCACTGTATTTGCTTTTAGAAAATTAGCACTTTTTATGTGTCCAAGTGGATGGTTGTCCAAGTGGATCACCGGCGATTCTGAATCTCTGCAAATGAGCTGTCTTCATGAAAGTTTTGGTTTTTTCATATGTGCGCAACATGGATGCTATCCAATTCTTAAAAATCCCTCGACATCTTTTAAGCAGATAGCCCCCCGTGTGCTTTGCCGTTATAAACTAAACAAAGGACATTTGTTATGGCTAAGCAATGATTAATGGAATTTTTATCAAGCCATGCCAAAGATGCGGTCAATGAGTTGCCTGTGGTAAAATACTGTTAACGTATAACAAATTTAATATTAAAACGAACCTGAAAAAAAGAATGTTTGGATGGCACAATACTGAAAATTGTTTCAACTATTAAAAATACAACGGACTGCTCTGGTGCCTATTATATAGTAATTGTTTTCAACCAGCATTCATAAGCTACAAAATTTTCAAACACCGCAAAACAAATCTACTGGTTCTGTGCGCTTATCTACAAGTAAATTAAAGGCTTTTTAGAAAGCATGTACTCCACTATATTATTTTTTTCAAAATACTCAAATCAACAAAAAGTTAAAACACATAAATAAGCAACGAATAAATTAATCATTACTTTCCCTAAAATGTACATTAAATAATTCGGATAGTTGGAGTTCTAGATATGTGGGTTCCGCTTTACCGCTTGGCCACAAGCCCACCAGCGGCCGAGCGGTAAAGTCGCTGAACACTGGCAGTTCGGTCCGAGGTTCGAATCCCGCGAACGGGCTGGCTGCATGGGTGTTTTCGTGGTTTTTCCCATGTGTAACGTGTATACGAGCCAGTTTCCCTTAGAAAGTCCTCCACGAAGGCATCTCTCCCCTTAGGCAGATAGCCCTCGTGTGCTTTGCCATAACTCAACACACCAACACCGCTTGGCCACTGGTGGGCTACACCCATCGTGAAATAAGTAAGGAGGCTTTATCCAAGACAGAGTTTCCGTGAGTGATAAATCCAAATATATTCTATCGAATTCTTTCCATGAAAAAGAATGAAATTTTAACAAAGAATCTACTTTTGGCCGAATACAGAGGTGTGTCTTCAAAACAAATAAATACGCATAAAGAATTTTTTTCCTAAAATTATGATTAAATTCAAGTGAGAAGAGCTTTCAACAGAAATAAGGGTAATGAATGAAAAATTAAGCAATGCATTTTTTTAATGTTGTGAATATACTCTCTTCTTAAATATAAGTATATCTAGATCAATGTGTGATTAGAGTTGTATATCGCGATGCTCTTGGAGACCATGTGAGCCACAGCATTACATTTCATTACAAAAAACATTCCATTGTTGACATGCCGTATTAAAAATGGTTGTAAGAACACAGCAATTTTCAAATTCTTTTGATCTTAAACTGATCGAGTGCTGTGGTACGTTAGGTCTGACCACTGCACTTTATACCAACCTTTGGCCTTTTTTTACGGACTGCCTTGTAAGGCGCAGCTATACATTTTTCTGCTTCTTTTCAGCTCACTGCTGAGTCTATCCTAAGAGGAGCTCAGGAAATGATAATATGAAAAGTATTGCATAATTAAATATTAGCTGATTGAGTGCATTTACGTCTATACAGTATATTTATGCACCGTATCCAGCATCTTATTAAACATAAAATAATTCTCACTGTGGGATTACTATAGCCCAGTGTAGTTTATACGTGTATGTATATTTTACCTGCAGTGTATGAAAGCAAATGTTATATAGAGTGACTAAACACTACATAGAATGCCGAAAATTGGACGTCAAAGTACGTAATGGTTAATATTTCCCACATTTCCTAGACATAGTATGTAACGCCGAAAGACAAACCAGCAAAGCATAAAATAATCCCTCTAATGATGTTTCTCGTAGGGAGGCACGTGACTTTCAACACTCGCCTTGACTGAGAATTCGTCTTTTGAATTTCAGTCTTTTCTCGGAACTATCAAATACACTATTTTCGATTTGCTTAGGAAAACCTTTAACCCATATTGTATGAAAATGGAAAAGCAAGGTGTAGTCTCCCAGAAATAATTATGGCAAGCTGACATGCAGTGACGATTCTACGATAAAGTTCCAGCCGATGCTTCCAATACAAGTGTTTTCCGAACTTAAAACGGGGCCCACTAGAGGCCGAGCGGTAAAGTCACTGAATACTAGTAGTTGGAACTGGGCTCAATCACAGGAGAACGGGCTAGCTGCATGGACTTTTGCGTGGATTTCCTCATGTGTAATGTGTATACGAGGTTTCCTTTAGAAAGTTCTCCACGAAGACTACTTTCCGTTACGCAGATAGTCCGCGTGTGCTTTGCCACAGTCAAATAAGCCAAGCAAAGCCTAACTTAACCTAAACTACTTATTAGATGTTAGTGAGGAGAAGATCAAGATGACTACCAAGTAAAAAAAAAAACACGGTATTATCCGCTCCTGAATCACTATGATGTTATGTTAGCAGAAAACAAAAGTAAGTTGATTTATCGTTTTAAAGAAGGCTTTAGTGTTATCATGTTCTACATTAGATATTTTCAATAAAAGCCGTTTCATGACTTTATTTTAATACCATTTTGCCTAAATAGCCATTCTCTATAATTCCTAGGTTTGATATACAGAACTAAGAAAAAGTATACTTAATATTAAAATAAATCGGATATTACCTACTTTGCTCTCAAATGCCATGCATTCTATATATTGACTAGGCATTCTATAGAATGCTTTTTATTTTCATACATTAATGGTAACATGCATATATAAAAAGATGTATGCAAGTATAAAAATCAAGTCTTAGAGACCATATGAAATGTTGTTTGGACTTATATCGAATTAAAAGAATTATCTGGTCACATAATAATAAAATGTCAAGAAATAGCGCTTAGTATTCCATGGTTCATGTCCGAATGACATCATTAAAAAGTCTCAACATTAAATTTAAGAAAAATGTCTTTTAGGAAATATTTAACTATGATAAGACGCTCGAAGGCTATCTACTCCCTAGTAGTGAGCCTTTGTAGAGGACCTTTTTAAAGAAATTGGCTCATACTTATGATACACATGAGAAAGTACACGAACCTCGTAGCAACTGCTCATTCAGTCGTTGAAATTAGGATTAAAAAATCCAGTATAAGCTACTCTTGTTCATATGGTTTAAGCCACTTGGCCACCGCTAATTCTTCTTTTAAACTAATTAACTGTGTTCTAGAAAATTAAAAGAAAGTAGTATTCTTCTTGGTTTTACTTTGATGTACGATTACAGAAATAATGCTTCTTTTAAAGGTCATGAATAGCATCAAACTTTTTTAATTGTTTTTGCACGTATTGACCATTTCCAACAACCTTCATTTAAAAGTCACATATGATCTTTATCTCTGAGCTAATAATCAAAATATCATAGATTAAAAGTAAGATCCATTTTTTTCATCGCCATTTTAGACATTTTTATTTATTTATTATTATTTAAAAATAAAAATTCGTGATAAAATATCAAAAATAAGCACAAAATGTTTATTGTAGACATATTTCAAATAACTGATAGGGTTACGAGTATCCATGTGGAAACATAACTCTTATCTCTTATAACACTTTTGTCATGCACATTCACAACCCACTAGTTAAAATTATATTCATAGTTACAGAATGCAGTATTTTCTTCAAATAACCATTAAAAATTGAAAATATCTCAGAATTTTCTAAAATTTGAGTTTTAAATTATTTCTATCACTTTGTACTATTGCAGCAGATGGTTAAACCCCTGATACCCCACTGAAGGTCAAGTGATTGAGATTGCTGAATGCTCGTATTTCGTCCTGGGTTCGAACCCAGATGAACGCGTTGGCTGCATTATTGTTTTCGTGGTTTTCCCCGTGCGTAACGTAAAGATCAGCCAGTTTCCTTTAGAAAGTCCCCCACGATGGCATTCCTCCCCTTAGGCAGATTGCCTTCGTGAAAGATAGTGTAATCTTTAGCTTTTCTGCAATGCATCAAAGCGGAAACTACCGTTTGCTTTAAATACGTTGCAGTGACACGAAATAACTTGATGACACCTGTTATACTTGGCATAGCAAATAAGGGAGAAAAAACAGATATTTTCTTCGTTTAATATTGAAAAAATTGCTTTACATTCACTAAGCATATGTTGTCTCCGAACTAGAACAATAGCCAGAAATATACATATTGATATATAAACCGTCCACAGATAAGTCTCATTTGTCGATCTACATACAAAAATGTAAAGCATTTCTACAATTTAGGAGATTCTTGAAACATATTTGTGGACCTTAGTGTTGTCAAATCCATGCACATGGATAAATATACAGGAAGTCTAGAAAAGAAAGCATATTGTGTGCATGACAAAATATTAAATATGGGTGGCCATCAAATGTAAATAACATGAAAATAATGCTAGAATAATAATAATATGTTTCTTCTTTTTTTGCAGGATGAGAACATCACAAGAAACATGCAGGTGTTTAACACAATATTGTGATCCTATTAAGCTCGAGATGTTGCCATTTACAGTGTACTGCCATTACCTGAGAAGAACGGGGTGTTCCACAGCTCTCTCTCAGCTAACAGATGTGAATCATTGGGATCAAAATGTGACATCAAACTGCGTTCTTTCTCCACGAGCATATTTTTCTGAAAATTCCACAGCATTAGTTGCTGAGAAGCTAATTTATTTAAACCTCAGGGAAGACTTGCCCTGTTTCAGACTAGCCAGGCCCTACAGAAAGATGTTAATATATTTGAAGATTTTTCGATATCAGAAGCTGAATGTCCTGAACATTCAAGAAGTGCCAAAAGAAAAAAACTGTGGTACACACTTCAAAACATTGCTCTGAAATGGTTGGTTGATTTTAAAAAGGGGCAGAATGGCTATAAATACTCGAGATTGAGTAAAATAAATTAATATTTTGCTCCTCAAATTCTCCTCAAACTACACACATTAAGATTTAAATTATTTTGACAATTCACATCCTCAAATCCTCATACGAAACCGCAAGGTGTTTTGACGGAAAAAATATGAGTCAAAGAGGAATATATGAACGCATGTGCCTAATTATGTGTATTGGTGCATTGCATTATTATTTTCATTGCCTTTTGATATTCCATTAATAACATCATGTGATTTTGCTTTTCACCTTTGCAACAAATGATAAACTGCATTGTCTATAAAAGTTACAAGCGATATGCTTTCGTTCGAGGAAAACAAATTGTTAAGCAGATTTCGCTTTACACTTTAGGTGCCTTACAATTAAGCACACAAGAGATATAAGGAGATTTATTTTATTCTGGACGTTTCGTTTTGCATTTTAAGAAATTACAGTTCAATACAATTTCGTCTTCAAGCATTGAATATTAATATTCATTTATACATGGGTACCGAAGCGTTTTATGCTTGAAATCAGTCCTTGATGCCTTGATAACAGAGCCGGAGGGAAAATGAGAAAGGATTAAGGCAGGTAATTTTGTGGAAGAAGAAGAATATTTTCTCTCTAACGAAATTGCTATGCAGATGTCTTACAGAAGAAACCATAAAATGCGTATAATCACTGTAAGAGGTATTTATTACTAACACGGTCTTAATAAACAATTTGAGCAAAGTAGCAGAAATGCAAAGTAGTAAAACTACAGAATTTGTGTAAGTCCTGCTTATTTTTTTATATAATTAAGAATTGTTAGTTTTCAAGTTATCAGAAATGACTACACTTTACAGTACACTGGCATAATTTCAATTAATGAGAGCTTATTTTTTATATTATCGATCTCTCAAGTCAGCAGCACGGAACAGTAACACTGAATTAAGTTTGCAAATTCAAACTAAATTAATGTTGTTACCAATTAAAATATAATTACCCATTTTAGTATGGTATATGCGCTTATTAATTTTGCGTTATTTTGTATGCTAATCCATGAATTTATAGCATAGTTCAAAATATAAATAAATAACATTAAACTAAGTCATTCGGAAAAAAAATCATCTGGTTTTCATTAAGTGATTTTTAATTGAACGTGTTTTAGATAGGAATGGTCATAAAACAATATGCACTAATTTGCAATTCTATGCAGAAATTGAGCACTTTCGAGATCAGCGAATTGTATATATAATAATCGAAATCACATTTTATTCTTCTGAGCAAATTTTATATCTAAGGGAAAAAAAAAAAACTTTTGATAGAAAAAAATTCAAAATATTAAAACAGAGCAATTAATAAGGATTTAACTTTTAAAACAATATCTTGGGGATAATTTATGTTAAATTCTAACCCTCTAAAAACTTTCGTACCAATACAAAATGGCATATAAGAATAATTAATTTAGCCCACAAAATCAAGGCAACCTGGACATCGATTTCCACATCGTGAAACAGATGCTGTTTCGCGGATCGGAATATTACTTTAGTTTGGCACTATACCTAATTTATTTGCTGAATGAAAAATCAATCAGAAGTTTCGTGTTTAATATCTTCAGTGTACTTTAAATGTCTTTGATAGGTATATTAATAAAGAAAAAAATTTAAAAATTATTGATTGACATTCTCAAAAAATATTGTATTTACACAGTTAGCTTGATGTGCGTTAGTTTACAGTTTCTGTTATATGCTTTGCTTGTCTTCCTAATGCCTTTCGTTACATATAAGAAATTGCAAGAATATTTTTATTTGTTTCAAATGAATATAAGGTGTTAGAAAAGTTTCAATGGTTGTACATTTAACTTTGGCGTTAACACATCAAGAAGGAACATCGACCTTTAAATATGTTAAAAAATACGTTTAATTGTTGGCATCAATCTATATTATTCAGGAAGTCGTTAAAACCAGAAATTAGAAAAAATAATTCTCATTTCAAATGTTATTCCTTGGAATGATTAACCTTGCTCACTTTATTATTATTATATAAAAGCACGAAAACGCACAAATAATTTTAAAAGAAAAATTATAATGGGAACGATGGAATAATCTATTCATAAAAGTGAAAACACAACTTTAAATTGCTTCCATTGGATCAATATTTGCCCTTATTCCTTCCTTTATCTCCAATATCATTTGTCTTCCATTAAAGCCTCTTTCCATAAGATTTTTATCTATTTCCCCAAGTGTTATTTTACTACTGAATTGATGTTTTATAATAATGATTGTATTTTAATGTAAGGCAAGAATGCTGTTTCAGTAAACCTTTCCTTTTGCTTTTCAAGCATAAACCTTCTATTATAAACAAGAAGCTTGTAAATTTCAACATCTCTGAACCCTTATTTCATGTACTTGCATCCTGACTTCAGAGGTAAAGGCTATGCAGCTAGGCATTCAAGAATTGAACCAGAAAATCAAGTTCGATCACAGACAGTTGGCATCTAGAGAACCATCTAGTCAATGTTTCGCAATATGATGTAATGCAACGTCAAGGATTTGATTTATTCAAAAATAAAAAACAACAAAAAACAAAAGAATGGCAAGACTCGAGGAGTCCAGCGAGCGGACAAGAAATATGTTTTCTTTAACATAACTTATACATCGCACATACCTGCAATTATTCACAAAACTGTACTTTATAGGACATTGATTTTATTTTAGGAGTTTTAGTTAGTTTGAAGAGACATGGCTCAGATTTAGGTAACTTTCCTTGCTGCACAAATTAGTGATCAGAGAAAAACTTTCTCACCAGTTTTTGAAGGGTTAACTCACCTTCATAGATCTTCTATTGTTATTAAAAGCGTATAACAAAATGTTTGTTATTGTAGGGTGACCAGATTTATGGCTCTAAACTTTTACTGACAGAAAGGCTGTGAAGGAAGGAATTATTTATTATTAATTTTAAATGAATAAGTTTGTAAAAAACGCTTTAATATAAAAGATGCTCATAAGCTTGAAACAAAATAGGAAAAAAAAAATCTTCAGGAGTATTTTTTCTTATGGGGGACAGACTGCATTTATATGTTTAAGCAAATGACTACTTTCTTAATAGCTATTTCATGAATTTTAAATTTATTCCTAAACTTTCCATCATTGCCCAGTTACAAAAATAACGAATCGTTAGTCTAAAAATGGAATTCTTTACTAGAATTCAGCATTCTACTCTATCTCCAATAAAAATTGCGAATCAGAGAAAGAGAGCAATTAAAAAAATTCCTTTAATTAATGTTTGTCATTCTGTTTTGAGAAAGTAAAGAATACCAACAAACACATTTTGACATTCCAAATATTTGAACGAAATTATGGAAGAGTTTATTATGATCTTTTTAGGCCCTTTAGCAATGACATTTCATACACACACAAAAATCACTCTTTCTAAAAGACAGGACTTCCTTTTATGGTTGAACCGTAATGCACCATACATCTCAAATGTTTTTAAAACTGTAAAGGAAATCAAGAATAGTTATCTAATTATCCATTATTTGTAATGAAGAAACGAAATGCTAGTTTATTGAAAAATGCTGTAAACAGAGTAAACTATATAGAATTTTACATTTTAAATATAAATAAAATTTTCCTTTTCCATGTAGTTTTTTTTTTTTTTTTTTTTTTTTTTTCAAAATACGAAACGAAACAAACCTACAAAGGTTATGTTTCGACCCACCTGCTAATGTATATGACAAATTATTTCCCGTCCTTTTTGTTTTCCTAAACGACGTACATTTCGTTGCACTTCTCTTACTTATTGGGGGGTGGGAAGAGGAAAGTTGATACATTTAAAACGGTGCTTTATTTAGACCACAAAGTATTTAAAACAAAAGTTTAGCAGAGGACATTCAAAATATTACTTACTGCTTTTGCATATGAATTTAAACTAAACATTACGTGAATTAGGAAACAGAAAATGATGTGATATGTGACAAAAAAAAAAAAAAAAAAAAAAAGAATTTATAAAATCCGGTTCATTTTATGTTATCTAAAGTACCATTTAATTTTTTTTCATAGTTAATTTCAGATAAAAGTGAAGTTATAGAACTTCATTTAGAAAAACCTACATACCTAAAACAAGAAAATGCAATCAAATGCAAGATTAAATAACTGAAAAAAAAATTCTTCTTAGCAAACTTCACTTTCATTACATATCTTTGAAATTTATAAGGCAATGTTAAATATACCTGACTAGATGCAGTTTCAACTGTTGTAAAGTTACTGTGAATAAATTAAAAATATGATGTTTCAATTAAACTAAATATTGTGATGCTAAAGTTATAAAGAAGTCTATCAATAGCTTTCTATGTATCTAATAAAAAAATTTGTTTACTGAGATAAGGAAAATGGATTTAAAGTCTAGAGCCACTAGCGCGTATCTGATCACCCTATGTTATTACGCATTATTATTGTTGTTGTTATTGCATACTAAGACTTAGATACTGTTGAGATATTTCAACCCTGCTCTAGAAAATGTAGCAAATTGTTCAATTCTTCCATTCCAGCTTTACGGTTTTCAACAGCTTTCTCTTCTCATTGGAATAGTGCAATTTTATTAGACATTTTCTCGCTCTAACTCGCTATTTCTAACCGAGCGTAAGTCTGTCAGTCGTAGAAACACAGTATAGAAAAAGCGCAACAGCAGCGTTTTGTACGAAAATAATAATCTCTGACATGCATGTTAGCCTTAAAACCCTCTTTTTATGACCTATACTAAAGCTGAAGCCATCGAAATAGAAGGGTTGTAATTAAAAAGCTTAGTTTCCACATTAGCTTTAAAAACGGCATTGCAAAGTTTAAAATTAGAAATGTTTACCAAAGTCATCAGAAGCTCTGAAAGTCTTTGCTAACAGAATGCACAACAGTTGTAAATCGTAAAGCTTTCGATCACGTTTCGCGTTTAGAAATTAATTTACTTACATTACTCTTATGTGATGTAGGAGGCGCCAGTAAACTTGCCTTCACCCATAGTGCTATGATAATGAAGTCAAATTGCATATTTAAAACTAGCTGAAAAATTAAACATTAATCTGCGTGGTTTTTCACATCGCTTAGAACATCATTTAATTAATTCAGAGAAATTCGTACACTTTGTAGAGTAGATAAAGAAAACCGCTACAAAGTAGTCTAACAGCTAACCTGAAACTAAGCTTTAGTTTTCAACAACTATTTTTTTGCCCGCTTTTAACATCTCTTTTCTTATTCAGTGGTATGAATAATTTCATAAGAAAAATGCCTGTTTCATTTGTCAACTATCGCAAAATAATATCTTAGATAACAGAAATAACATGTAACTCAAAAGCATTCATTACTGCAATTTACAAACCCCGATTTCTTTCACGAATTTTATTTTCTTTACTCTCTAAAACAATTCATTTTACAGCAAATACATTAGAAACTCTCATTTTTTTCATATTTTGATTTGGTGACGTTTTTTACACGCTGTTATTTTCTTCATGGGTGCCTAGAAACGGAGTTAGCCTATTTACCGCAACTTTTGAAAGGCAGCTGCGGCGCATTTTTATATAATGTTGCTTTAGGAAAAAAGGATTACAGTAATCAAAAAAGAAAACTAGGTAATATTTCGGAGATTATGAAAACATTTCGACCGGGATCTATATAATTTGAAAATTAAAATGGCTGTTGATTGAATAATAGTAAATAATTTTATCAGGCCAATTTATTTTCTTTCATGACAGATTTATTTTATAAAACTGCGTTAAAACTGCACAAGATTTCATACTTTTTAAAGTTTTATACCTTGTACTATGCAAATTTTAAGCAACAAATACTACTAAGTACTGTTCGAAACAGTGTAATAGTTTCTGTGTTACTGGTTACAAACCTGTAATGCTTTGTTTTTTATAAACCTTTTCCAAGCAGACTTCACATGTATGCTCTATTATATCTAAGTGCTCACTTCTTGTCTAAATCATTTAGATTCTATATGTATACCAGAAACTAATCTCAAGTCTAAAACTGAATTTGAAATTTTCAATTAATCATTACCAATATATTTTCCACTAACAGCCCAAACTTTTAACTATAGTTTTAAGGGATTATTCGTTATTTAAAATGTGAATAAACTCATGATGCACACAAGAAACTCTTTCTAGCACCCATGAGTTTAAAAGTATGACAACTTCCTCACAGTGTTAATACTGAAGCATTCAAAAGCATAACAATTTGTTAATTATACACATAACTTAAATAAACTATTGAGACGTCTAAATTCTCTAAGAACATATAATTCATAAAAAAGGGAACTGAAGTGTTAAATTAAATATCTAGCCTTTTAATTAGGGAATGAATAAAAGATCTCATCAGAGCTTTAGAATTTCTAACAGCTAACCTGACAGCTTATATTTACTGTTGATTTATACTTCATTTAATTTATTAATCTATCTTTTTATATAATGTAACTAGTTGGATGGTCTGAAGTCTTAAGATACTTAATTTTTTAAAAAATTTAATGTCAAATTATCTATCTAAAATAGTTTGAACACCTTCATTTCCCAGGCAATTGTTTTTTTCATGAAATTACTATAATTTCTTTTCTTTTTTTTTTTTTAAATATATTTTTTGTTAAGAACCGGAAAAAAAGTAAAAAAATAGGAAAGTAGATGAGGTAGAAAATTACTGATTTAGAAAACTAAATGTTTATTGCTTCGTCTTACTGAAACAGTCGCTTTACATTACAAAAAGAATAAATTGTTTTATGTAAAAAATTCATTAATTGTGTATTATTCGTATCATCATAATTACTCCTATAAATGAAAATTTAAGAACTGTTGTGCTATATTTGCATTTTAACTAATGCTGGAACATAATATGAATTTTTGGTTATTTAATACTCTGAGAGGTTGTATCAGATAATGCATGGGAAAACTTGCTTTCTAGGAAAGTATACACATGTTTCTTTTGTTTGCAAATTTTGCAAATAAGAATGTATGTTTCACTTAAAATTTATATCATTTTCGGCTTCGAAAGTTTCAATTACATGCTCAAATATATTTACTGTTGATTTATTTGAATTTTAATTGTTAATATTAATTGACTTAAAATGTTAAAAACACTACCATAAATTTTTAAAAGTATTGTAAAATATCCATTTATCTGCTTGCAAGAATTAATAAAATTTCTCAGACAAAGCCTTGTCTTGTCCCTTCTAGTCAATGCTACACATACTTTATAAATCAATATATAAATTGTTTACTTCAATATCTCTTTTTCATTATCATTCATCATTTATCTACATCAGTTTATAATAAGGATTTATTATGTGTACTCATATAACAGACCATGCAGAAACGTTTAAACAAGAGAAGGGATGATTTTTTTTTAACTAAATATGGAAGAATATTTACTGTGCAGATTTTAATGATTGAATATTTATTTCAACAATGATTTACTTATATATATTATATTCTATTGAATCTATAAATTATTATTAGCTGCTGCTTTATTCATTAAAAAGAAATACTGTGTTAAAACAAATGTTAAGAAATTATGTTACAAAACACTTTTTTAACTGTAATAAGTTACACTTTCATTGAAATCCCGAGGATACGCTTTCTAAGTAAAATGCTTAATTTAGTTAATGATGTATACAATATACTACTTTATTCCTAAAATTTACAGAAATACAAAATGTTGTCTTTTTTGGGACCACAAATACTTAATAGTTTCAATCTGTAATGAAGATGTTACAAATTTATCTTCACAGTTTATGTAATGTAAGGTTATTGCTGTATAATAAAGATAATTCGCCATTAAAATTCGTCTAGTTTATTTGATCATATTGATTTTATAAATAAGCCTTAAAGTTCTAAAGTTTAATATTAAAAAAATTATACTGTACACTGCACAAAATATAAATATGCATTACAATGGGCGAGTGCTTTTAAAAGTATAATTTTTTGGATACCATTTTCAGTATGCTGCCAAAGTATTGTCTTTGAGAACAAAGTGACTAGATTCGTAAACATATCAGCGAAATGTTTCAAAAAATTGTTGAGCAAGTCAAAAATTAATGAATCACTGTTTGCAATTCTGTACTCAAATGCACATTTAAAAGAAAAACTAAACTGTTTCTATAATAATGCATACTTTCATACATATTTAACTGAATTTTAAGTAGCGATGTGTGCAGAAGCAGAATCTATATAAAAGTTAGTGCACAGTATTAATTACAGAAATGGTACTAATAATAAAAATGGCAAACTAAACAAAAATAAGAAGCTATGATTAGAATACCTTACTACTATAAAATCACAGTTAATAAAATGAATAGTTTTCAATAAACACTTTCTTTAAATTTTGCATAAATGTGTATTGTATAGTAGTAAAATAATCTTTTTCTTGTGAATGTATGTAAAACATTCCTCAAAAATATTGTTCAATGAAATCAAATATGTAAAAGAATAGAAATTATAAATAAGATTGCTTAAACTATAAATTTTTCTTTTTTTAAAATTAAACATAATCTTTAGCGATCATGATCATACAATTAAGGCATTCATTTGCACTACTAAAGAAATTCAGTATCTCCATTTCAGATTAATTACTATATGAAATATTCATAATTTACACTATCACTTTTTAATGATTGCCATGATTAAGAAGCCTCTATCATATCTAGCTGTTTGAAATTATATATAGTCTTAATTTCTTTTTTAAAACAGATTAACAGACAAAATACAAGCATTCTAATTATGTGAACTTGGTCAATTCCATTAATTACAGCAAAACAGTGCATGATTATATGCTTAGACAGCTATGTGCCTTTGTGTATGATCACCTTTCACAGTCTGTATCATACTTACATTACAAAGAAGGAAAACATCCATACATTCACTGCTCTGCCGTTAGTAATCAAACTAGGACAAAACAGCCTGTGTTTACGTCTTAGCCAATAGATAAAAAAATTCATAATTACATCTTAAATGTACTTATTTTCAACTGCAGAACAGATGTTTAAAATATGTACAAATCAGATTGTTAAGTTTCATTCCAGTGATAACGCTAATGCATGAAAACTAGGGTTCACATTTATATAAACTGTGAATTTTGAGAAATATTTTTTGAATGACAACATTGGAAAGAGAGAGAAAGCATTTTAA